GAAGGGAGAGAGTGAGTTAAAAAAAGTGTCTTACTGTTTTCTGTGGTGAATCCTCGTCCATCCACCCGCTCCCAGATTTTTACTTGATCCAACAAAATAACGTTTCATTTATTTATTCATTTTTTAACGTTTTTTCCCCTCCTCAGTGCTACAAAGTGTTGTTGTTTGTTTGCGCTTTAATTGATTTATTTTGTGGGCCGCTGTCCCGAGCCTCGGAAGCTTTAGAGAGTGAAGAAGAGTGTAGATTGAGACATATTGAGCCCTGCTTTTAAAAGGATCATTTCATCATGTGGGAGGTTGGGACACACACAGACAGACAGAGAGACACACAGACCCGTGACTGGCATTCCGGAGAGACATGCATATTTTAAAACAACAAAGCAAGACAGAGACTGGGGCCCCCGGTGGTGGGAGATGATTGTGACACAGCACACCACTGCACACAACGAAATGTGACCTCTGCTGTTAACCTATCACCACAGTGAACAGTGGGCAGCTTTAAGCGTCCGGGGAGCAGTGTGTGGGGACGGTGCCATGCTTAGAGCACCTCAGTGGTAACTTGGCAGCAAGTCGAACCTGAAGCCTTCCGGACCCAAGTCCGCTTCCTTAACCACTAAGCACCACTGCCCGGTATATATAGTCGTGTAAAAAAAGGAAAGGAAAGGTTGTCCACGAAATGCCAACAGAAGTCTCAATTCAATAAAACAAACGCATGGGACTATATATATATATATACAGATAAAATGCACTATTTTAAATCATGGCTGCAAAAAGTTTCACTTTCCCTTTGGTAGAGTTTTTTATTGTTTGGCTTTTAAAGTTTGTTAAAGTTATTGTGTACTATTTTTTATTGCAGGATTCATTTTGTGCAATAATACGTTTAAAAAACTGTATGTACTGGATGTAAAGTTTATAAAACAACAACAACACACACACACAATTAAACTGAAGCTAAACCCAACAGAGAGAGCGCCTCGTTATTGAAAATAAAACACAACGGGTCTATCTTTTTTCTTCTCCTTAATTTTCTAAATTAAAACAGTGAAATTAAAAAGTGCACTGTCCTCCTGTTCCTATTTTGTCAGGTCACACAAGTGATTGCTATATCTCTCTTCCAACTAAAGCCTGTGTGCTTAGCGCTGTCACTTCTGCACAGCTTTTACAACGTCACCCTCCCTCCTCCTTTTTGCTGTTTTTTCTCAGTTTCTTTGCCTTACTGGAAGTTTTTTCTCTCCCTCTCTCTCTCTCTCTCTCCCTCTCTCGCTCTCTCTGTGTTAGTGCTCAGGGTCCGTCCGTGCACAGGATAGGGAAAAAGGCGTGGGGTGGGGTGGGGTGGAGAAGGCATAAATAAAATTGTGTTGGCTGTGACGAGAGATATGTCCGCTGGAAATGAAGGACCATGAGGAAGAAGACAAAAGGAGAAAATACAAGCAGTGGTGTAGAGCTGGATATCTCTGTTAGTTGTCAGCGTTTAGTCCATGGCTGTGGAATGCTAATGAGTGAGGTCTTTCTCCCTCTCTCCTCCCATCCACATCCCCCTCCTCTGTTTCTCTCTCTCTCTCCCTTTCCTTCCTCCCTCTCTCGGGGAAAAAATCGGATCGATAGCTGACCCGATGGTTTTGACCAATGCTTTATTTATCTGGCCAGGCAATGATATTATCACCCTTGAACGTTATATACAGCAGACGTCTTCCTAAATCAACACTAAGGGATCCGCTTACACAGCACCATCACCACCTCTCTCTCATCCACTCTCACTCGGCCCGTTGCGCGCGCATACACGCGCTTTTACGCACGGCGGTGCAAAAGTACGCGCCCGCACAAGTACACACACACCAGTATAGAGAATCCCTAACCACTGCCACACTCGTTATAAACACACACGTTTAAAGACACACTTGGATGATAAGTGTCATTCACATTTTTTTTCTTTTTCTTTCTTTTTTACCCCACAGGGTTGGATTTGATCCATGGCTTTAAGGTTGCCCATAAGGTCCACGGACAGATCTCACACCAGCACACTGTAATTATAAGATACGCCACTCTTCATTGACCGTGTACAATCGATACAACAAGAAAACCCGCTGCTGTTTGCTCATATAAGGCCAACATCTCCCGGGAATCCATTTAATTTTTTAGTCCTCCCAGTAAAAACAAATAACTAAATACATTTTAAAAATATCAGCAGCCATTTTACAATCCCTTGTGCCACGAGGTGTTTGGTGGATGCCTTGTCCACAGTTGTTGTCATCGGTTTTATATTTACGCACAG